CCCTCTACCATAAAGATCAAGATCATTGCTCCTCCCGAGCGTAAGTACTCCGTCTGGATCGGTGGTTCCATCCTGGCCTCACTGTCCACCTTCCAGTCCATGTGGATCACCAAGGAGGAGTACGAGGAGTCCGGCCCCGGCATCGTCCACCGCAAGTGCTTCTAATTAACTAATTTTGTTTAGTTCGACTAATCTGTCATCCTTTGTCATATTTTTTCTCGAACAACCAACATAGACTGACTCTTTTTATAAATCCATATTTCTGCTTCATTGTGATTTTATTTTTACGCCAGAACTGTACATGGAAATTTAATTATATTCAGTAATAGGGCGCTGTATTATTTTCTGGAATAATTTCTAAGATAAAATATTCCCAGTATAAACAAATAAGGAAATAACATGACTCGAGAAAAAGGAAGGAGGGGATTCCACTGAATCATTTCATTCAGAAATAATGGCTATAACCGTTGGCTACAGAATTGTCATTTATTACGGTCGTGGCTAAATAATCTCATCCATCCACCATAATTACCATTACCGAGCGTTAGTCCGTTATACGGTTTTTTTTTTTTTACTAATAATTGAACTCCACCATGAGGTGGGCTAAAACAACACGGGTTCGAATCCCCGGCTAGTCGCAGTGTTGTTATTGATTAAATACCACTTGTTCGTGGTTACAGTACTATATATACTGCTTGTGGAGGCTAGTACACCAAACGGGGAGCAGGATGAAATTAACTCTGAAGCACCCACACCATCGTATGTCCTCGGATCACGGTAAGACACCTAGTTCTGCTGGGTACGTAACTCTTATAGGATTGTATGGTCCCGTGGGTCAGAGCATCATGGAATTTTCGCTCCCCATTACCTGGAGATTACCTGGAGAGAGTTCCGGGGGTCAACGCCCCCGCGGCCCGGTCTGTGACCAGGCCTCCTTAGGTCAGTGTCCCAGGATGCGACCCACACCAGTCGACTAACACCCAGGTACCCATTTTACTGATGGGGAACATAGACAACAGGTGGAAAGAAACACGTCCAATGTTTCTACTCTGGCTGGGAATCGAACCCAGGCCCTCACCGTGTGAAGCGAGAGCGTTAACCACCAGGTTAAGCTAAAACAACACGGGTTCGAATCCTTTGCTAGTCGCAGTGTTTATATATATATATATATATATATATATAATATATATTATATTATATATATATATATTATATATATTATATATATATATATATATTATATATATATTATATTAAATCTTGTTGAATTTCTAAAAAAAAAAAAGGTCTAAAATGCAAGCCAATTGTTCTTCAGAAAATGTAATCAAAATCTAATCAAATTATAACAAAAATTGGCAGCCATAGAAAAAAATAAAAAAAATAAGGTAATAAATATAATGTCATAATTTCGAGCTGATGAAGGGCTCTTGATCCAAGGGATTGGAGGTACCCCCTCCGCTTCCTCGGATCGAACCTGATTACCTCTCATTCCTTAGTCGAGGGAAGTACATGCCACCACGGACAGGGGAAGTACATGCCACCACGGACGAGAGAAGTCCGTGCCACCACGGACGAGGGAAGTACATAACACCACGGGCGAGGGAAGTACATGCCACCACGGACGAGGGAAGTCCATGCCACCACGGACGGAGGAGGTGCATACCACCACGGACGAGGGAAGTACATGCCACCACGGACGAGGGAAGCCCGTGCCACCACGGACGAGGGAAGTACATGCCACCACGGACGAGGGAAGTACATGCCACCACGGACGAGGGAAGTACATGCCACCACGGACGAGGGGAGTCCGTGCCACCACGGACGAGGGGAGTACATAACACCACGGACGAGGGAAGTCCATACCACCACGGACGAGGGAAGTCCATGCGACCACAGACGGAGGAGGTACATACCACCACGGACGGCGAAAGTACATATCATCATGGCCGAGGAAAATACATATCACGGACGGGGGAAGTACGTATCACTTCTTACAGAGAATTTCGTTAAGATTCATCAGTGAGGCGACATTCCTCTGTTTTGAAACACATGGAAGACACTAAACATTGATATTTACAGAGGAAGGGATAGCAACGTGTCCCGTAGATCGATTGGTAGCGCATTCAGCTCACACACTGAGGTCCGTGGTTCGATCCCCGGTACGGGTGGAGACATTATCATGTGTTTCCTTAAGACACCTGCTGTCCCTGTTCACCTAGCAGTAAGTAGGTACCTGGGTGTTAGTCGATTGGAGTGGGTAATGTGTATGTGGCACTGTGTACTGGTGAAGGTAACGTGTAGCTGGCACTGTGTACTAGTGAAGGTAACGTGTAGCTGGCACTGTGTACTGGTGAAGGTAACGTGTAGGTGGCACTGTGTACTAGTGAAGGTAACGTGTAGCTGGCACTGTGTACTAGTGAAGGTAACGTGTAGCTGGCACTGTGTACTAGTGAAGGTAACGTGTACCTGGCACTGTGTACTGGTGAAGGTAACGTGTAGCTGACACTGTGTACTAGTGAAGGTAACGTGTAGCTGGCACTGTGTACTGATGAAGGTAACGTGTAGGTGGCACTGTATACTAGTGAAGGTAACGTGTACCTGGCACTGTGTACTAGTGAAGGTAACGTGTAGCTGGCACTGTGTACTGGTGAAGGTAACGTGTAGCTGGCACTGTGTACTAGTGAAGGTAACGTGTAGCTGGCACTGTGTACTAGTGAAGGTAACGTGTAGCTGGCACTGTGTACTAATGAAGGTAATGTGTACCTGGCACTGTGTACTAGTGAAGGTAACGTGTACCTGGCACTGTGTACTGGTGAAGGTAACGTGTAGCTGGCACTGTGTACTAGTGAAGGTAACGTGTACCTGGCACTGTGTACTAGTGAAGGTAACGTGTACCTGGCACTGTGTACTGGTGAAGGTAACGTGTAGCTGGCACTGTGTACTAGTGAAGGTAACGTGTAGCTGGCACTGTGTACTTGTGCAGGTAATGTGAACCTGACTTGGCTATTAATACAGACAAGTATGACTGACAAATTCTCTGGTTATCTGGCGTGGATGCTGGGATAGCACGGGTGTATGGGGTAGGCAGGAGGTCGCTGGGATGTGAATGGACGGAGGATGTTGAGATGTGGATGTAATGTGAAAGATGGAGCGGTGTGAGGGAAGGGGTATTGTGTGTGTATGTTGCTGTATCGGATTCTAATGAACGCTTGTAAATAGGAGAATATAATACACGCCATACAAGAACAATAACGTTTGTATATTTCGTCCTTCGGTTGAGATTCCATCCATGTTTATGTAATGAGTAGAAGTCAGATGAAGAATTATAGTGGTATTGAGGTCCGTAAGTCACGACCCTTTAAGCCATTCAACTTCGGGAACACAGACCGCACTTCCCCAGAAACTAAGAATTATGACAAGCATCTATGTCACCCCTGAAATCCTCCCAGGACCAGCCTGGGTTCCCAGGGTCAGCCTGGAGAACCGAAGTATCACATCTTGGTACTTCCTTACGTACCTGCCAACACAAACTGAGATTACACTCAAATGTGAATGTAACAAAATAGAGAGGATTTTTTGGTGCTAAACTTCAGAACCATAACATTATACAAGGATACACTTCCCCTCCACTATACACAGTAAATGAATTGTAACTGAGGACCCATACTGGGTTTCAGTCTTTAAAATGGCAAAAGAAGAGGCAAAAGAAGAGACTTGTATGGCTCACGAAATCGTAATGACACGATTCCAAACAAACCATACCACGAGTGGGAATAGAACCCGCGGTCAGAGAGTCTCAAAACTCCAGACCGTCGCGTTAGCCACTGGACCAGCTAGCCACAATAAGATTCATCCAACTAGGTATATTTGGATGAATAGTTGGATGAATCTTATTGTGGCTAGCTGGTCCAGTGGCTAACGCGACGGTCTGGAGTTTTGAGACTCTGACCGCGGGTTCTATCCCTCCCGTGGTATGGTTTTTTTTTAAGAGACTTGAAACTTAATTGTATCTGCATGTGTTGAAATATTTGCTTTACAAAATTAATTTTTAAATGTCTTGAAACAGAAGAAATATTTTACAAAAGACTGAATACCAAAAAAAAAAAAATTCTCTGTTTAACGTAGAGATCATTAAATAATAATGAATAATTTGGGATTTAGTTATTCAGGAGCGACTGCTATCTCAAGGAACTCACAGACGCTCCTACACTGAGGCAATGATAGGTAAGATTCGTCAGGAACCAGGACAAGTGTTTCCTGACGCGGGTCTCATGATGATCCACCACTGGAACTTTTGATCACCTGACCGACGCCTTCCACAGTGGATCCACAATTCTACATGCTCTTAAAACATTGAGATTGTGGAGAAATTTGTGTGATTTAGCAGTGAAGATATGATTAGGGATGAGGGAGAAAGAGAGCGAAAGTATGAATGATAAAGTCAAGAAAAAATGAATGAAGGTATGAGGGAGAGTTGAAGATATATGAGAGAAAAAGGGAGAAGAGGTAGAGGGAGCCACCATCGCCTAGTGATATCTCTTGGCTCCTCTCTGTAATGGATCCATCTCTCTCTCTCTCTCTCGTACGTGTGTGGATGTGGATCCGACTCTCTCGTGAAGTATTCATTAACTTTATTCAGACACAATGTGATTTTTTCCTAAATAATGAGAATCTGCCTGTGGTAAACATCTATTAAATAGATGATAATGTACCTGCGATACTGTAGTCACTGTATTTGCTTCTCGTTAATGTATACAACGGATAAAAAAGACAGTAAACAGTGTTGATTTGACAGGGAGTCTGCAGGTGCGGCGGACCCCTCAAGCCGGCCATACCGCTGGTCACCTCTGATTCACGGCATTAATCCTCACGTAGCGGAGACCGATAACACATTGATTCTGTCTGGCAAATGTTCTTTGCCTGACCGTGAGTAAAATATAGTCATGACGCGACTTAGACAACCCACTTGACAAGTTATTCATTGAGTGGGTTGCCCTCGGTCCGACCCCACTCGAGTTTCCCCTCGCCCTGCACATACGGTGTTAGTATATATAGACCAGTTCTCAATCATGGGTACTGGTGAGGGAACACTTCACCCCACCAGTCTTGCTCAGAAGATCCAGACGGCGACTGGTCCAGGTAACGCCTCCTTCAGACAGCTCTCTCATCCCAGCACTCTTACACACTCCCAGAGCCCAGTAGACTCGTTGTACCTCTTTTAAAAGCCTCCTTTCAAATGTGATGCTAGAAATCAATTTACATTGTCCAGTCGTTCGGAAATTATAGACAGGCTGTGTAAATCACCGTGAAAACTGTGGCTGACGACAAGTGAAGACAGTAAGAAATATAAGTTCTTCCTCTAGAGTGTGTCTTCAGTGCCTCGAGAGTTGCATTTCTTGTTTTTCAGTCAAATCATTCTCTATGGGCAAATAACAGTTGATAAATGAGACACATGTGCAACAGTTAAGTATCTTTATTCCGAAACGTTTCGCCCACACAGTAAGTTTCTTCAGTCGAGTATAGAGAAGGAAGTAAAAGCTTCTGCTGCCTCCTCGATACTCGACTGAAGAAACCTACTGTATGGGCGACATGTTTCGTAATAAAGATACCTAACTGTTTCGCATATGTCTTACTTATCAACTTGAGGGTATTGTATACCATTATCATATTCACAAATAACAGTGCTCTTGCTTTAGCTGTTACATTGTTGCAAGTTAAATTTTACGTCATCAGATCATTTCAGTTTTTAAAACGCAGGATACGTCTAGGGAGGGCGACCCCCCACCCCATGATTCTACCATTAATCTGTTCCTGTTTATTAAAATATTTAAAATACATTTAGGGTTCCATAGATTATAATTTATTTATTTTTAAATAGGCTGACTTGAAATGAATGATATCGAAGCGTTCACTTTATGGATACCATTGAGAAAGAGAAGGCATAGACGGAAATTATTATAATTTAAATATGATAATAATAATTAGTAATAATTAAAAATAATCTTAAGATTACACCAAAATGTGGATAGAGCCGACTAAAAATTAAGATTTCCTGTGGAGACTTGAGTTGGGACGTGTTTTGTGTGAACATACAGGAAGGCTGAGTGCTGTGAAGGAACACTTAAGTTAATGCACCAAGAGTACATGACATACCAACATTATTCACTCATTCTTCAGCTTCCTCTCCGTGTTAATACAGCTTAAGTACAGAGTTATCGTATATTGAATTATAATTATCATACTGACTGTCGCAACTTGACCATTTAGAAATAATTGTGTTATACCTATTTATTGCAGAACCTTCCTAATATACTGTCATAATGTGTGACGACGACGCTACAGCGCTGGTTTGCGACAATGGTTCTGGTCTCTGCAAGGCCGGCTTCGCTGGTGACGACGCTCCCCGAGCCGTCTTTCCTTCCATCGTCGGCCGTCCTCGTCACCAGGGTGTGATGGTCGGTATGGGTCAGAAGGACGCCTACGTTGGTGATGAGGCCCAGAGCAAGAGAGGTATCCTGACTCTCAAGTACCCCATCGAGCACGGCATCATCACCAACTGGGACGACATGGAGAAGATCTGGCATCATACATTCTACAACGAACTGCGTGTTGCCCCTGAGGAGTCTCCTGTCCTCCTCACTGAGGCTCCCCTCAACCCCAAGGCCAACCGTGAGAAGATGACACAGATCATGTTCGAGACCTTCAGTACTCCTGCAATGTACGTGGCCATCCAGGCCGTGTTGTCCCTGTACGCCTCTGGTCGTACCACAGGTATCGTGCTGGACTCTGGTGACGGTGTTACTCACACTGTCCCCATCTACGAAGGTTATGCTCTTCCACACGCTATTATGCGTCTTGACTTAGCCGGTCGTGATTTGACTGATTACCTAATGAGAATCCTCACTGAACGAGGCTACTCATTCACCACTACTGCCGAACGTGAAATTGTCCGTGATATCAAAGAGAAACTTTGTTACGTAGCTTTAGATTTTGAAGGAGAAATGGCGCAGGCTGCAGCTTCTACAGCAATTGAAAAATCATATGAGTTGCCTGACGGACAAGTTATTACTATTGGAAACGAACGATTCCGTTGCCCTGAGGCTCTCTTCCAGCCTTCCTTCCTGGGAATGGAATCTAGTGGTGTTCATGAGACAGTGTATCAGTCGATCATGAAGTGTGATGTTGACATCAGGAAGGACCTGTATGCAAACACTGTCATGTCTGGTGGTACCACCATGTACCCTGGTATTGCTGACCGCATGCAGAAGGAAATCACTACTCTGGCTCCCTCTACCATCAAAATCAAGATTATTGCTCCTCCCGAGCGTAAGTACTCCGTCTGGATCGGTGGTTCCATCCTGGCCTCACTGTCCACCTTCCAGTCCATGTGGATCACCAAGGAGGAGTATGAGGAGTCCGGCCCCGGCATCGTCCATCGAAAGTGTTTCTAGATCCTGCCTTATTATTCATCAGTAGGCAGTACTTAATATTTTTTTTTATGTTTCTGACTACAACTTAAGATATTTCCAAACAAATGCATCGGCCAAAAGTAATGCATAACCCACATTGGGTAGTGTGCATCAGTTCCTGAAATAAAACAGTACCTTATGTTTTTTCATCATTTGCCCTACTCTTCTATTTTATTTATAAAATTGCTCTTGTTTGACACCGAGACTAGTTTTATGTCTTTGTCGTATCTTGAGGCTACAGTCTTTGGTAATCAAGATTCGACATTGCATTCACCTTTGTTGCATTTTAAAAAGTATGTGGATTTGATTAGTCACCTGTGGTGCATTTGTTGACATGGGTAGATTATTAGTTCGACTTCGTGACTCACGAAATCGTAATAAAATGATTGTGGCTTTGAGGAGACGTGAGCTAGAGTTCGCCACAGCCACGCTGGAGGGAAATTTATTTGTAAAAAGTTACATATGGGGTCACTGTGACCCATGCTAACATCCCTATTGTGTATAAATATACCTAGTTGGATGAATCTTATTGTAGCCATCTGGTCCAGTGGTTTACGCACTGGCCTGGAGTTTTACCAATCACTTGCCATGGGTTCTAACCCCACCAGTATCGTGGTTCAGCTTGACTACCAGTTATGTTCTCCCGGTGAAAATACACCGAGTTTACTTCAGTTCCCACTTTAGGTATTAAAGTATTCTTGACTGGTGGTGAACAGGTGACATGCAACCTTAATGACCCTCGAGTAGTTGACATAAGCTTTAAATCCGAATTAACCAATCACTGCCGTCCAGTAGACCTACAAACCCTCAGTAATCAGTGTACCTCGAGTGCTGAATCACCCACAAGTGTATACTGGAGTTTACCAGTCTTGAGTTTCCTGACCTAACAACAAGCCAGAGATAAGTTCTGCGTTTCGTTTTAGCTTTAATTAAATATAAATATATATCGCTCTCTTTAGATTCATTTAAACCGATTTAGAGAAAAATTAATTTAATAGAGCTGTAGTATTTGACTTCCATATTCGTTGTTAATAAGAATTTTCAGTATATTTCGACAACGAATGTATAATTTCGTATTGAAACAAATTTTCAAGAATCATACCTAAGGAAATTCAATAATTATCTTCCAGAACGAATAAATTTTGCCTAATCAAAAATTTGAAACTCGTATATCAGAGGCTACGATTTTTTTTAAATACTAATTTAAAGAATTACCAAAACACCCATAAACACAGGATACTCAGGAATAATTAGGTGGGAAATACATGGTGTTTCAAAAAGAAGGACCCGATTTCAAAGCAAACTGCATTGAAATTAGGTCCTGTAAAGAGTTGATGTCAGATTGATGCAAACGCCGTGTCAGAAAAAAAAATCATCGTAGGAAGATCTCAAAGACTCAACAAAACCAAGAATTAATATTACATATTTAGAATACAATATTAACCCTATTTTTTAAAGTGGTTTAGGGGTAAGCCAGTGGAAGGTCTCGGTCAGATGACCAAAAGTTCCAGCTGTGGGTCATCATATGACTAAAACCCGATTCAGGAAACACTTGTCCTGTTTCCTGACAAACCTGACTTAACCTAACTATATCTAGAGCGATACACTAATTAGAATATATACATGTGTCTATAATATTATTCTAACTCTATATTTATATATTTAAAGTTATCCTTTTAATATCTTATTTAAATATTAGATATAATATAGATTATTATTATTATTATTATTATTATTATTATTATTATTATTATTATTGCATTCGTGAGGGGAGTCTAAGGTTGCTAGGATCCTGTTAACTCAGGGGTCTACCAGGAGGTTATTCCGGGGATCAACGCCCCCGCGGCCCGGTCCACGACCAAGCCTGGATATGGATTTCCAAGGGTACATTCCTAACTTTCTCCTTCAACAATCTCTGTTGAGCCTCCCTATGTCCTCCTGCCAAACTTAACTATGGCCTCCACAAGTATAGTTTTGTCTGTACGATATTTACTTGTAATATTTACCTGTAATATTTACCTGTAATATTTTTCTCTATTTGGGAATTGGCACTCATCACCTGGCCATGTTTAATGGCGTCTGATCCTGAAGCCTAGATCAAGGGGCAGCGCTAAACCCGTAGGATTATACAGCGCCTGTGAGGGGGGGGGGATGTGGAAGGTATTCGTGCTTAATTCAGGGAACCAGAGCACAGATCCAATTCCCTAGATCAAGAGACCCTTACCAGCGTCAAGGAACCTTCCTTGGGGGACCTGAAGCCTAGAGAAACCTCGGCAACGGGTTACTGTGGAGGAATTATTATCGTTGGATTGACTTTACATTAAAGCGTGTAGTATTGATAATTAAAAAATTAAATATGAATAAGTCGATATAACACTCAGAAAAATGTATATGAGAGTTGCGCTCCTGAGGAACGTTACTGGATAAAAGGATCACAGAAAATACACATCTTTGTTTCAAATTATTTTTCATATATTTTAAAGGTCGTCAGATAAAGAAAAATTAAATATTTCGCAGAAATAAAGTGAGACAAGAGAAATATGCACATTAGAAAATAATAACAAAGATTCAAAGAATATAATACGTTGTACATGGCATACGAAGCGTATATTGCCCGTTTAGAAGCACTTGCGGTGGACGATGCCGGGGCCGGACTCATCGTACTCCTCCTTTGTCACCCACATAGCCTGGAAGGTGGACAGTGAGGCCAGGATGGAACCACCGATCCAGACGGAGTACTTACGCTCGGGAGGAGCAATAATCTTGATTTTGATGGTAGAGGGAGCCAAATTAGTGATTTCCTTCTGCATGCGGTCAGCAATACCAGGGTACATGGTGGTACCACCAGACATGACTGTGTTTGCAAACAGATCCTTCCTGATGTCAATGTCGCACCTCATGATGGAACAGTGGACGGTCTCGTGGATACCAACAGATTCCATACCCAGGAAGGAAGGCTGGAAAAGAGCTTCAGGAGCACGGAAACGCTCATTTCCGATGGTGATGACCTGACCATCGGAAGCTCGTAGGACTTGTCAAGCGAAGTGGAGGCTGCAGCCTGAGCCATTTCATTCTCAAAGTCCAGAGCTACATAGCAGAGCTTTTCCTTGATGTCTCGGACAATTTCACGTTCAGCTGTGGTGGTAAAGGAGTAGCCACGCTCAGTCAAAATTTTCATCAAGTAATCAGTCAAATCACGGCCAGCCAGGTCGAGACGCATGATAGCGTGAGGAAGAGCATAACCCTCGTAGATGGGGACAGTGTGAGACACACCATCACCAGAGTCCAGCACGATGCCTGTGGTACGACCAGAGGCGTACAGGGACAGCACGGCCTGGATGGCCACGTACATGGCCGGGCAACTGAAGGTCTCGAACATGATCTGTGTCATCTTCTCACGGTTGGCCTTGGGGTTGAGGGGGCTTCCGTCAACAATGTGGGAGATTCTTCAGGAGCAACACGCAGCTCGTTGTAGAATGTATGATGCCAGATCTTCTCCATGTCGTCCCAGTTGGTGATGATGCCGTGCTCGATGGGATACTTGAGAGTCAGGATACCTCTCTTGCTCTGGGCCTCATCACCGACGTAGGCGTCCTTCTGACCCATACCGACCATCACACCCTGGTGACGAGGACGGCCGACGATGGAGGGAAAGACGGCGCGGGGAGCGTCGTCACCGGCGAAGCCGGCCTTGCAGAGACCAGAGCCATTGTCGCAAACCAGCGCTGTAGCGTCGTCGTCACACATGATGTTTTAATGATAAAATCACCTACAGAGAAAAATCGATTGTCAGTACCTTAACACAGACATATTTTACATAATTACTTAGTACTAGATAGCAAAATTATTAACGTAGGACCGAACCTCAGCACACACTAATCATATTTTGTGGAATTATAAGTGATTGACTAGAATTACAAGGAACATAACCCAAAATGAATTAGTCTGTCTCTGTAATTTTGTAATAAATCTTTGGCTTATTATTTGACAAAAAAACAAATGCCTTCATGAATGTTATCCATCATACAGATGAGAAACATTAATAAAGACAAACCGTCTCGCTCACGGTGTGTTGAATGTCAGACTTACGACTAACATCTGTCAGTGCCTAGCACATCACATAAATTTTGTGTTAAAGCTTTTATGTTCAGAGTACATACATTATGTGGTGTGTGAGTACATACATTACGTGGTGTGTGCCAACACATTTACACAGGAGAGAATAGTTAACGGGGTTTGAAGCCTATCGAATACACAAGAGTCATTAATTAAGGCTGCATGTAACATGTTCACCACTAGTCAATATTTTGATCTCTAAAATAAGATTAAATTCACCATACATACACTGAAAGAAATACAGGAGCTAGGTCTCGACCCCGGCAACCACACATAGTAAGTACCTCTCAGTGTTTACAACCTTGCTGTGCTAAGACGTGAAAGTGAGTAGATTTAAGGCATCACCATTGATGATCTCCGAAATACAAATTTCTCTGGGTTATTTAGTGTAATTTTTTAATAACACCTGTCATTCCTGGCCATAACTTGACGCTAAATCCTTGATAGTGAAGATACGAGGCTTGAGTACATTGTCCTTGTGCGGCTGTGTTTACCCGAGTGACTGGTCAGAGGAACAGCTTGGCATCAGTTTGACACATTCCTAGTCATATTTCACTGTCCCTTTCTTAATATTTAACGTAAATTACCAATCACATGTTAGACTGTATAGTGGTAACATTTTTCAGCTATTCATGTGCACTTAAGAGCTTCTTTAATTGGACTCGCAGCAATGGTTTGGACTCGCAGCAATGGTTTTAAGTTGGAAAAATTCAGATTCAGGAAGGATATAGGAAAGTACTGGTTTGGTAATAGAGTTGTGGATGAGTGGAACAAACTCCCAAGTACCGTTATAGAGGCCAGAACGTTGTGTAGCTTTAAAAATAGGTTGGATAAATACATGAGTAGATGTGGGTGGGTGTGAGTTAGACCTGATAGCTTGTGCTACCAGGTCGGTTGCCGTGTTCCTTCCTTAAGTCAATGTGACCTGACCTGACTAGGTTGGGTGCATTGGCTTAAGCCGGTAGGAGACTTGGACCTGCCTCGCATGGGCCAGTAGGCCTTCTGCAGTGTTCCTT